CTTAGTGGTGCATAATTTTATGGCACACCTCTTGACTATCTGAGTAAGGACAAGTTAGCACTGCAAAAGCTTAGAAAAGCTGCTGAGAAGGCCAAGGTTGAGTTTTCCTCCACTATGCATACTAAAACCTATGTCCCTGTTTATTATTGCCGATGCTTTTGATGCAAAGCAATTCAACATTACCATGATCAGATATAAGTTTGAGTCTTTTGTGAGCAATCTCATAGAGGGACTCTTATTCTTTATGTAATCTGCCTTAAGGATATTGGTAGGACGATGGATCCATGTTGGAATGTCGCTCCAAAAAGTGTTCACATTTTGTCCACGATTTATTTCCCATGAATATATGCGGGTACTATAATAACACTAACTACACCAAATGAAAGATTAGAGAGAATTTGCATTGTCTGCAGAAGGATTTATTTATTAAGTTCTTTGGACTCTACAGATAGTTTTGAAATATCTGTTTGCATGTCTTACCTCGTATCCTAATTCAAAATTTTATAGTTTAATTAGAATATCTAGGTGATTGTATATATATAATATTCAATACAAGAATAATCTATGTATGATCTTCTTGAAAGATTTCTAAAGTGTAAAGACATCTTCGTTTTTCATGCATGCCCGTGCTAACGCTACGGTAAAAACAAAAGGACAATATATCAATTAAAAAATAAAAACAAAACTCATGCTCAAAGTCAAAGAGATAAATTATGGATGCTTGAATTTTGTCATCCATTATCTACCAGCATGCCTATAAAATAGACTGAATAAACAATTAAACATAGATAGAAAACTAAATTAATGAAAGGATCATTGTAAGACATCAATCATCTCATAGCTTCGGACAATATCGCAAAGCTACTAAAAACTGTAACCGTGCCCTCATCTCAAACATTGTCTAGATAAATGGATTACAATGAAAGAAATGGATATCGAAGATTTATTTCTGCCAATATAAAACATTATTTTAGCCGCATCACGGAAAGGTCTATAAAGTAGAGTTTGTGAGCCTACGACGCCGCGCACTCTGTGACTGTGTTAAATTCATAAACTTTGCTTTTTGAATTAAATGTCATTTTAATGTTGGTATTTAATTTTTACAGTATTGTTATCTTATCGTGCGATTCGTGTGTTTTTAATATAAATTGTTAGTTATCCCGTAGCAACATACGGGCACGCTACCTAGTATAAATATAAAGAATAAAAAAGACGACAAAAAAGATTGGCATTAGACCAACTCCTTTTGATTCTTTACAAACACATCTGAAAGTTAACATGTGGGCTGTGGGCATCAAATCAAAACAACAAAAATAACATGGATTCGACCATAAGTAGCATTTGCCCTCATTTTTTTTGAAAAAAAGAAAGGTACTGTAGAGTTACATGATTGTCAATCTTATCAGCACCATCAATTTTTGTCAATTGTAGAACTCAACCAAGACAGCTATTGAAGTGTTACATCCTTAGCTCGCAACCCAATTAAGAGTAAGTTCTCGCAAGCCTAGCTCCCCAGCCATTATTAAACTGCATAAAAGGCTCCGAAACGAAGACCACTATTTTAAAAAAGAGTAAATGATGATTGTTTTCTTCCATGCATGATTGTTTTCTTCCATGCATGATTATTGTTTTCTTCCATGCATGATTATTGTTTCCTTCCATGCACGTGGCCTCAGGTGATCGATTTGTTTCCTTCAAAGCAGGCGGGGATCACAAGGATAATAGTTTTTTTTTCTATCGCGCGGGGTATCGTACGGCCAGAAAGGAGGAGCGACCCAAAAAAAGTTATACAAAAAAATTATGTTACTTTTGTTCTGTTTAGTTGCAGGAGAAAGATTGAAAAACCACCGTTTCCTCAATGCGCGTAGGTGCGCTGCCGGCGGAGATGGCATCATGGCGATGTCCGATGTGTCTTTTTTTTTTTGACGGGAATATCCGATGTGTCTATGCGATAGGGAGCCGAACGGGGGAAAAGATTGGGCTGACTGGGCCTCTGTTGGGAGCGAGAGCGCCTGGAGATACTTGTTTTGGGCTGAATAAGAAAGAAATCGGGAGATGAATAATAAATGCAAACAAATATTCTCACCACCAAATTGTTAATGTGATTTTGGTTATGAAAAAAAGTATTTTATTTCAACCTAGTTCAACCAATAATTCAACCAATCAAACTGTGAAATTAGATTTTTGAGCCATTTGTTATTGAGCCCCAACTTTTTCTTATGAGAACCTACGCCACAAACTTGACTTTTAGGCGAAGCATTTTCTTTACCTTTGAGAAATTAGTGTTTCTTGTTAAAGGCTAGTTTTTCCTTCTCACACTTTTAGGTGAAGCATTGTCAAACATTAACTCAAGAAATGTCTTACCGAGAGAAGCTCCAGAGATGATAAGCTATTTTTTATACAAGGTTGAAACCACGTAGAGGTTTCTCCGGTTCCTAGGTTAAGCCAGTTGCAAAGCGGCCTTGCCAAACCGTCAAGATTAATAATGGCCTCTAGGCTGTACACAGTGCAATCTTCGATGAGGATATGATGGAGAAAAATAAAAAAGTCTCCATTAAATCATTTGTGATCAATGGACTGGTCATTGACACGTCAGCCACTAACTCCTTCTCGATTTTAATTAAAGATTAGAATTATAGATTTTTATGGATCTTCGATGGAAGTCAAGGAATTGATATCTAATTGTACTAACATATTGATATTATGAAAATTAAAGTTTTATTTACAAGCAAATATTTCTACGCTTTTGCAACGGTCCAAAAAATCTATCAAGATTGTATTTTTAACTTGATACAAGTATAATAGGATATTATCATATAATTGCCAGCATTAGTTTATACCAGTAAACGCGTCTATACATTGCAACAAATTAAGGGCTAGTTTGGTTATGGCCTAGCAAAGTTGCCTGGCGCGGGGAGCTCCGCCAGGCGTCCGATTTTGGATGCCTGGGTGGAGATCGATGCCTGGGCAGGGATCTTGCCTGGCAGCCATCAAACCAAACAAGCCCTAAACCTTGCTAAGCAGTCACCTAAACTACTTGTGGCTCAGAGATTTATATAACAATCACGTCGTTTACTCCAACACGTATTGGAATTGGACTCTACACCGTCGTTGTATGCACAAACGCACATGGTTCTAACTTGTACTCACTCTACACCGTCGTTTTATGCACAAACACATGTGGCCCTAGCTGGTATGTGGTTCTAACTCGTATGAGTACGGAAATATTAATCATGGGAGATGTGAGGACACTTTAGAAAGTAAAAAAGATAAACGAAAGAATCACTTAGCCCTTTAATATTAAGTATAGATTAGGGATGCTATAGCCATCATAAAATGGATTGTAGCTCTTAAAATTCATAGAAGGGAAACAATAAATAGATACGTAGCATTCCCCATCCTCATTTTCTAATGAACAGTTTGATATGTGGCGATATGGAATTACGGACTAGTGAATTAGAAGCCCACAAAAAAAAATCAAACTCCACCCAAAAAAAAGTATACTATCCTTTTCATAGTTTTGATCGGCTGATAGTCTAACCAAATGGCCAAAGGTCAGAAGAGCGTTTGACACACAGACAAAGACCATCACCATCAGCAGAATAGAAAAAGGGCGAGTGGAATTCACAACAGAAATACAATGAGAAATAAGCATGCTAGCTTCAATTATCGAGTCAAGAGATGGGTACAGGTACTGAGTTCCGCTAGGCGCTCGCCTAGGCGCGATTAAGCGCTAATCGACGACCCTCCACGTAGACTAGGGTGTAGTCGCAGTCCTAGGCGGGAGCAGCGACTAGGCGGCGCAAATCGGTGCCTCGGCGGCGATTCCGCGGCGCGCAAGGCGGCGCGTAGGCAGACGACCCGCTCACGGGCGAAATTTTTGGCCGCCGCGGAAGCGCGCGCGCTTATGGCGTCTGGCGCGGGAAAGGATGCGCGCGGGAAGGAGAAGAGGGAAAAGGTCCGCTCCCGCTCGATTCTTGCCTTGCAGGTCGCAGATAGCCGCTCGGCCACTCCCGCTCGTCCTCTCCTCCTGCGACGGTGCGCCGGAGGGAAGCTCCACCCGCCGGTCGCCCCGCTCCCCGCAACCCCGCCTAGAGGCTTGTCCCGGCCGGCCTCCTCTGCCCCGCCTGGAAGCTGCCGCCGGTCTCCTCACCCAGCCGACAGCCTCATCCCTAAGCGGTGCAGCGCAGCACCAAGGTCAAGCCCCTCCCCTGCTCCTCTCCTCCATGTCCTCTGTTTTGAATGCATCCCCTGCTTCTCTCCTCTGATTTGAATGCCTGTGATTCTGTGAATGGATGAGTTGATCTGATTTTGCCTGCTGTGAATGCCCATTGTCTAAATGTGAATGTGAACAACTTGCTGTCTATTGACTACTTAATACTGACCAGCTGTCAAAATGTGTTATAGGAGCTTGGAACATGCAAGAATAAGCCACTGAGGAATCAGGTATGTCTACTGGCCCTCTTCTTATATTTACTGTAACCTATGTATTCAGCATTATTGCTATATATAGTTATATACATAATACATATATAAGTTATGGCTATATTGCCAAAACGCCTAGGAAAACGCCTAGGAACGCCTAGGCGCGATTAATCCCGAGTAGGCTCTAGGCTGAGGGTCAGCGCCTAGATTCCGCCCAGCGCCTAGCGAAACTCTAGGTACATATAATAACACAATACATTGTGCTCAACGGTAAATCCACACACCCATCTATGTGGTGCCTGCTACATTTATCAGGAGAGGACTAAGCCCTAAGGGCAGGCACCATGCATACTACTGGCCTGATGATATTTCCTCACATGCCACGGCAAAGCTTGCCAATCCTGGATATGCCATCAACCATTCTCAATGACAGGCAGACCCTGGGTCCATGTGTCAGACATGCAATACCATATCCAGGATTATGATATTTACCAGTAGCATTTGAAGATTTATTAAACAGGGCACCATACTGCACAGTGCACAATTCTAAATAATTGGTGTCCTTCGCTCACTCATCACTTATTAGTTTGTTTTTCAAATGCCAGTAGTTTGGTGCAAAGATCACTGTCACTTTTCGGTGCTTTCTTCGTAGCATAGAGTTGAACATACACATCCTTCATCTTGGGTGTCAACCAGAGCGTCACTATGCAGATAGGCGATAGAAAAAGAACACCTGGCCATGGATCCCACCAGTTATCAGAAACAATGACCATCACTGCCACAATCCCAACATAAAACAGCAGATACACCACGAAGAAAACATCCTGCGCAGCAGAGACAAGTAGCATGAGTGAAAGATTAGTTAAGAGACCAAAATTACATGACGTATCTCAGGAAAAAGTTAGTAAAATACTTGGTGTGTAAGTTAAACTATATGGAACACAGAGGGAACAACATTGTATTCTTAACTGATGGAAAAGAAAGTTCCAAATGTCAATAAGGTAAGGACCATGATATACTACACAAGATGCAACCTTCAATTAATTTAGCAGCAGGATATCAGTGTTTCGAACAAATTTGAAGCTTAACAGATTTTTTTACTCATTTTTAATCGAGTTCAACTAGGTCCACCAAGTCAAATTAGATAGTAACATACAGCAAACAAAGAGTAACAATCGCTAAGAAATGAAAAAGGGAAACCAATTCTATTTTTCTGATCCGAACTGCTGTCACCTACAGTTGTACAGTGGGTTCTGGAAAAGGGCAAGCAGCAACACAATCATCTCCAACGCAGGCTTGTCTGCTATGTGTGGAGCCAACGACGAGTGTCAGTTACACGTCAAAGATCGATATTTTGTAGCAAAAGAAGAGAAATTAAAGGGTTTGATAGATCTAGAGAAGAGAAGTGGAAGAAGCGGCCTCACCAGCGTGCGCATAATCAAGCTCGCCTTGCGAACGTCCACGACAGGAACCTCCTCTTCTTCCGCCGCCATCTTCATCTTCAACCCAACGTCGACTTTCTCGGGATCTTTCGGATCCGGTGGATCCAAAGAAGCCTTCGGCATCCTCGCTCGGCTCCCGGCGGCGGCGCTAGGGTTTGGGATTTCGGGAAGGCGGCGGATTGAGTACGCACAGGCGCGTGGGGGTGGGGGGGCGGCGCACGATTGGGGACGGGACGACTCTCAGCTGGCTCGGCGCACAAAGGATGAGCGAGCTAGATGACCCAAACCAGACGAACGGGACGAACCAAGGGAAAAGATCATTGGCACAGGGGCAAAACAGTCATAGGCAGTGCAAATATTTCTCAAAAGCTCTTCTCTTCTCGTCTACTTCTACCAGAGATTTTGGTATCACGAGATGAGAAGAGAAGATATATTTTACTATTAAAGTAAATGTGTTCATGCGTTGCAACGGAATCGAATTCGTATAAAAAACGGACTTCGTACGATCGCTAGACACGAGTTGTTCAATCTTGTATTAGCGCAGGTCATGAGTACGGGTCATATACAATCTCCCATCACCATGGGCTTATACAAGGCAACCCCCTCTCCCCGATGATGTTTATTCTCATAATGGATGTGCTGAATTAACTGATTAATTACGCCACCAGGGAGTAATTGCTACAACCGTTAGCTATCCAAGAGATGAAGCACTGTGTATATCTTTCTATGCACTGTGCTATTTTTGAGGCCGTCTTTAGTTGATATGCAAACCGTCAAGTCGCTCCTGGATGTGTTTGGTCATGCCACTCTTATTCATTGTTCCGGGGATGATCTGCAGCGCACCTCGGTGATCCCTTCCTTTACGGTCAAGGAATTCCCTTGCAGCTATCTCGGTCTCCCGCTCACTATAAAAAAGCCCACTAAATTTGAGCTACTGCCTTTAGTGGAGAAAATTACATACCATCTTCCAAATTGAAAGGCTTCTCTGATGAACAGAGTTGGGTGCTTGGTAATGGTTCAAGTGGTGATGACAGGTACTCCCATTTACCACATGATTTCTCTTGAACTTCATAAATGGGTGATTAAAGCTATTGACAAGAGACGGCATGGTTTTCTCTAGGAAGGGCAGGAAGAGGCTAATGGAGATAATTGATTGGTCTCTTGGGCAAAAGTCCAGGGAATTTTCAACCTTGATAGACTCTTGGTTGGGCTCTAAGAATCAGATGGCTATGGGCTCAAAAGACTCTTCTAGACCTTAGGCTGGTCTTCCAATCCAGGTCCCACAAAATGCTCATATTGTTGGGAATGGTGAATCAACTCATTTCTGGACTAACCAGTGGTTAAATGGGAAGACCATCCCTGAATTGGCCCCCAATTTGTGCAAAGCTATCCCAAAAAGGTCGGTGAAATGCAGGACTGCAGCTCAACCGTTAACCAATCATCATTGGGTGTCCGATATCAAAGGGGCTTTAACAGTACAGGTTCTGGTTGAATACTTATCAATCTGGGAGCAAGTGGATGGTGTTGTGCTGCAACAATATATACAGGATCACCATTGATGGAAGTTGACACAATCTGGCTCTTATTCCAGCAAGTCTGTTTATGCAGTTTTCTTCGTGGGCACCATTAGGTTTGCCCCCTTTTTTTTTTATAGATAAAGGATAGTTTATATCCGGCTTCATCTACACCAGGGTAGAATAGGCCAATTATTAAAAAGTTTGGGCCGACGGCCGACGTACAAGAACCAAAACGAGTCTACAACCAGACTCGAGGATAACAAAGCGTGAAGCAGATCCTGACTAATAGACCAATAAACCTAGATGACAACCACCAATTGGAACTAAAAAAAATACAATGCCGACGTCTCCAAATGCTGTCCAATAAGGGTCAATTGGTCTCGAAGATCATCATGCCGCTGCAGTCTTGCCCATTGCCTTAGCCAATGGGTTCCCCTGAATAATATCTGCAAAAAAGTTTTCGGTCTACACTTGTCAAAAACCACTTCATTTCTTGTTATCCAAATTGTCCAACATAAGGCTGATGCCGCTGTTAATAATAACAAATTATGTATGTTACCACCCGCTTTAGATCAATTAACAAATAAATCGTCTTGGAAAAGGATTTGAAAGAGTTGGGCTCCTTTGTGCTGCAAATTCTTCTCTTGGCTAGCCATTAACAACAGGTGTTGGACAGCAGACCGCCTCGCTAAGCGGGGGCTGTCCCACCCGATTGCTTGCCTCTTTTGTGATCAAGCTGAGGAGAAAATCAATCACTTGCTGATCTCTTGTGTTTTCATTCGCCAAATTTCGTCGCTGATGCTGCTGAGTTTAGACCTGGCTGATGCAACACCTTCGGCAGCGAAACAACACTTCTCTTCCTGGTGGGGGCACACCATTAGGAATACTGCTGCCAAGGAGTCACACAAGGGTCTGAACTCCCTAATTATTCTTGTGTCCTCGGAGATTTGGAAGCACAGGAACTCATGTGTTTTTTAGGGGGCTCAACCTAGCATCCTGTCTTACTTCAAACCATTAGGGATGAGTGTGGTTTATGGTGTGCATGCAGCAGGTGCGTCGGGCCTCAGCGAGTTCCTGTTGAGGTTGCTGATCGCAGCAGCTTAGGCGCCGGTGGTCTTTTGGGGTTTAGTTCTTTCTCTGTCTAGTGGTGTTTTTAGAGCATCTCTAAGAAGACTGTCTAAATTCTTCCTAAATGCTAGGAATAAAAATTTCGGTAAAAAATTACCTTTCAACAGCTTCTCTAAATGATTATTCATATATAGTCATCTTCTATTTTGGATTTTTCGCTGGCAAAAAATATAAGACGAGAATGACTCTCTAGACTGCAGACGAGATATAGAAAAACTGTTGGAGTGCTTAAAGATATAGAAAGTGATTTTTATGAAAATGACTCTCCAAATGAGATTTAAAGATCAGATTTGGAAAGGCTCTTGAGATGCTCTTAGTTTTCTGTGTTGGGGCTTTTCTCGGCCTGTTGTACTATTTTTTTGAGTTAAATGCAGGAGAGATCCTTGAACTTGTAGCGGGGTGTCATTTAGGTCCATAAACTTGAAAAATACATTTCTAGATACATAAACTTGCTAAATGATACACCACAGGTTCATACTTGCCACACGGGCATTTTATCTGATGTGGCAATGCCACGTGGCGGAAAAAATATGCAATGAACCCCTGAAATCTAAATGCAATATCCCGAACAGGTCATCGTTGTGGGTGCCCCAGAAGAGGACGTTGGTGGGGAACACCGGGAACTCTAGCGACGCACCAGAGGGCTCCTCCCGTGGCAGGGCATTGTGGCAGAATCGCTTAATCTAATGCCTCCTAAGAGTGCTTGTCTTCCATTAGACACTAAGCACCCAAAGGAGACCACTAAATTACTCGGTTCCGTCGGGCACACCCCAGGGGAGAACCTGAAAATCCACATTTTTGTCATCAGGATCACAAATGAGAGAATAAAGCTTACATCATTCTGAACCATTTCTTACATCACTTTTAATACAACATCAGAGTATAATATTTATTAATATAACAACGGAATGAAATCATATTATCAGAGTTATAAACAATTTAATTGAACAGCGGAATATAAACATGTGATCAGAATTACAGCGAAAATGAACATCTAATCATGACATGATGAAGTATTGATAAATAAACTACGACAATAGATTATGAAACTTTCATTTATAAAAGCATTTGGTGAGAGTTATAAATAACAACTACGATCGCAGCGTAAAGGAATCCTCGTTGAGCCCACAAGGAGGTATCCACACACAAGGGTCAGCTCTAGCATCCACCTGTCACCTGCAACAGGGGGAATAAAACCCTGAGTACTCAATTGTACTCGGCAAGACTTACCCGACAGGAGGAAAGAAAAGACTCCAAGAATATGCAAGGCTATCTGGCTTGTGGGTTTATTGCATTTGCAGGAAGCATTACTAAGCGTGCGTCTTTATAATTGATTTTTATTAATAGCCATATTGGTTCGTTATCTAACCATTCTATGTAAGCATCTGTGCTACTTTCAAGCAGGTGGTAAGCAATCAGATTTCTTTTTTCATCTTTCATCTTAAAGTTCTTACTACGGTGCTAGGCATGAAACAAGCCGTACCGGATCATCCGGCGATTCGCGAATCAATGCCCCCACCTAGGTACCCCGAAAACACACGCCCCGCTTGTACCCAAGGCACAAGCAGGACCAACCCATCACTCTCCTATCCCAGGTGTCCAGGTCCCCGTCCAAACTGGGACTCCAAGCCCCCGCCCCTGAGTCCCAGACTCAGTGCGGTGCAAGGACCTCCTCCACCAAAATAAAACCTTGACAGTCGGTCCGAAAAGAGCCGGATCCGTGACAAGAGAGCAACAAGTCTTCCAAGCGCCCATACCCAAGTATGTGCTCAGGATAATAAGTCTGTGACTTGCCTCGATGGCTTATGCAGCGACCGGTCCTTAACCGACACAGACAGAGAAAACAGTGTAACCAAGCCATGCCCCGCGTCCACGGCGACACAACCTCTTACACCCACCAATACCCAAAACATATCTATGCCTAGTCACCATTTTTCCTTTACACCATTTATATTTTCCAAGTGATAATAATGCAGTAATATATTTCCTATATCTCTCGAGTGACAAGCAATCACTCGACTTCTATCGAAGTTCTGTAGCATAGCAATCTACACGATCATGTCATACTAGTAAGACTCATAGGATAAAGATATATATGCAAGCGGGTTTCATTCAACTCCTTAAAACTTGATGCATAAATATAATTTAAACTGCATAAAGTAGGAGTTATGCACTGTGGCTTGCCTGGGTAAAATATAACCAAAAGTTAGTATTTGCATCTTCAGATCATCCACCATCTGAATAGGAAGCCCATCGCATCATCTCCTGGAGAGAATACCATTACACCATCTTCGGATTCCCAATCATCCTCCAATTGATCCGTTGGTCCATCATCGTACCTATATGATATGCAAGGAGATGTAATGCAAAGACATAATTAATCGACTACAACCGTGACTCGTAAAATACGATTTACGCCTCTCAAGTTAATGGGCTAGTTCTAACGACGACCGTACTTAGGCTACATATACACGTTGT